GGCACTTTAGTCTTATCAAGTATGGTTAGGGATGTCTCACTAATTAAGAATGAAACTTGGGTGTAGGCAAAAGTCTTTAATAGTCAATTGGGTTTAGTTCAAAATATTTTCCATTTGAGGGGGCTATTGCATATTTCCCCATGTATATATATACAAAAACTTTTAGGGCTAGTGAGTTTATTCTATAACACGTTATCAGCACGAGATTTTGCTGGATAGTGATTTGCTATTTTCGTATTCTTCTTTCTATTTTACTTTACGAAAATCCAGATCCTCGATCTATTATCGAAAAGACAAACGAGAATGATGTGCGAATACTTCTTCGGTATTTTATACGCTATCATTTCTCAAAGGATATGATGGATTCCTGTATATACGTATATTGCCCATATATTTGTTGAATTGCTGCTGAAATTTATATTTGCAAGTTTGTGGATCCCAAGCAGTGCTATAAGCACGTGCTAATTTTAACAGATCTGTGGGCCGCCGACTTAGAGGCCACGATATTAACTCCGAGCATAATGCTCGTCGAGTAAAAGATATAATAATCTCAAATAAAGGTCGATTTAGAGACTATGATATTATCTCCGAGCACAAGCTCGTGGAGCTGGGGAAATAATAATCTCCGTTTAAAGCCGATTTAGAGGCTATCGTCTTAACAGAGACCGTATTGAGGTCATACTATAACTCTGAGCCGAAAAACTCATTGAGTTGAGACGTTGGAATTGGAATTCCCGTCAAGTAAATCAAATATAACTCCGAGCCAGAAGCTCGTGGAGACAACAAAGTCGACATAGAGGCTAAATCGTTAAAATAACTCCGAGTCTAAGCTCGTTGAGACAAGGAAGCCGATTTAGAGGCTAAATCGTTAATATTACTCCGAGTCTAAATTCGTTGAGACAAGAAAGCCGATATAGATGCTAAATCGTTAAAATAACTCTGAGTCTAAGCTCGTTGAGACAAGAAAGCCGATTTAGAGGCTAAATAGTCAATATTACTACGAGTCTAAACTCGTTGATACAAGAAAGCCGATTTAGAGGCTAAATCTTTAATATAACTACGAGTCTAAACTTTTTGAGACAAGAAAGCCGATTTAGAGGATACATATTTAATACAGGTCCGAGCCTGAAGCTCGTTGAGATAAGACAACCAATTTATAGGCTAAATTGTTCATTTAACTCCGAGAAAACTGATTTAGAGGCTAAATAATAAATATACCTTAGATCCTAAAGCTCGTTGAGTCATTATTTGTTAATATCCTTCAAATGCCGATTTAAAGGCCAAAGATCGGAAAATAACTACGAGCCTGAAGCTCGTAGAGTCACTAAACGAGGTAAAACCCGTTAAAAGTTAACTTAGAGGCTATTAATCACAAGCCCAAATTTAAAGGGTTTTGGGTTATTTTGTACCCAGTGTATATATATCTCTCTCGGAAGGTGTGATTCCCGAGATTGGGCTATTTTGTGTGTATCCATGTTTAACCTCTCTTAGATGGTGTGATTCCCAAGATCGAGTTATTTTTGAGTATACCTGCATGTACTTACCTCCCTTAGAGGATGAATACCCGAGGTCGAGCTGATTGTTA